GCATCTAGCTTCATCTCAGCAACACGTAAGGTACCATGTATGAATGAATTTAATTTCATCAGTTGATATTAGAAAATATTGATGTTATTATAGATGATTAGCGCCCGCCACACCCCGTTATGTATGAATGTATTTAATTTCATCATTTGATATTTTTTCCCCATCGTTCATATACATTTCTATAAATCTAATTATATGGCAAAGAAAAGAGCAAGTTAAAGGACATCAAAATTCACTTCTTTCATATGGTGTAATTTTTTAGGTTGAGGATGTAAGATATGCTAACAATAGAGAGAAGTTACCATACATAGGCATAATTATAGATTGGTATGATTTTTATATTAATTAGTGGTGCTCTTTTGGTGATTAATAGAGATAATTACTTAGAATAGTTGATTATAGTTTATATTTGTTTAAGTTAGATGTATTCTATATTTGAGATATTTTTCACGTTTGAGTCAAATTCATGTGAATGCATTTACAAATGAAATGGAGCAATGCACAATGTTGGAGATTTTGGCAATGTGAAGTTAATGATACATGATGGTGTAATAGTTTAATTAGCTAGAGTTATGTGCATACCATATTAAGGAAAGAATTTAATATTTTTTAAATGTTCTCATTCAATGTTACATAATATAAGTTATATAGTGATATTATGGCCCTTAAAGATCTATAGGGGCTATTTGGTTGTCATAAAGTAGATAAAATTAATGGAAACTATATATTATGTATGGAGTGCTGCATCAAATGATTTTGTGTTGGATTCAAAAAATTAAGAGAAGCATGAATACTTTTGGGAGCTAAATGTGATTTAGCTTCCATTCTACAAAAATTATTCAAGAATAAATATAAGCACAAGCTGATGGGATATTTTAGATGGTGTTGGGGATAGTAGGATGAGTGGATATGACTATATATATTATGGACTTATGGTGTTTTGGTGATATAGGGCAATTCAATGGAATTGTTAGGGCTATTTTTTCCTTTGGGAAAAAAGAGTTATGAGTAAGAGTAGGATAAATCTTGGCTAAATTTATGGACTTAGGGTGGGGAAGAGACAAAGTGGTTAAAGCTAAGGTTTATGCAATGAGTTTAGGTTGGATGAGAGCTTTCTTTGGGAATTAAAATTCATGAAAAAGGGAAGGTAGATTAAAATGATTATAGGGTTTCTAATATAAAGAAAGCAATAAATGTTTAGAGATGCTAGACCTAGGCTTTAAGAAAAGAGAGAGAATGAGATAGTCAAATGGTAAGGTTTTAGGCTGTAGTAGAGAGAAAGGTGACCAAGAGGCCTATAATTAGGGTTTAAATTAATTAAGATGATACAAAATCCTTATTTAATGAATTTGGCCAAGGAGAAGCCAACAAGCCATTCAAGAGAAGAGAGAGCTACCACCAAAAATTTTCAAATATAATAATAGTCTTCTTGGAATAATATTAAATATATTTATAACAAAAAAATTAAAGCAATCTCTTAAAATGCTAAGGAGTTAAATTGCAAGTTTCAATAAAATAGCAAAGTAATAAAAACAATTATTAAAAACTGAGTAGGTCTAAGCATAGTAAATGGAATTGTCTCCTTAAATTGTGAAGTGCTTCTTCAATTTACCCTAAAAAAAGGCAGCCAAAGCTTCATATAAACAACCTCCTTGCATTTAAAAAAATGAATTCTTACACTTCTTATGCAATGTGGTGTTATTTTATTTATGATCTTATAATTGGTCCTATTATGTATCAATTACTCATGCATTGTGAAGTCAAGTTGAATGTTAGATCATATTATTTTAGATTCAAAATCAAGAGACATCTACTTTAAGGTAAAATGAAAATTAAGGTTGGATATTCGAATAGGTTCAATTATATTATATTTGAGTGCAATATTTATGCTACAGAGGTCACTCGTGGATATTTGGCTCATACAATATTTAAGCCTAATGATTTTATGTGCATTAAGCCCTTCAAATATTTAAGAGCTTAGAATACTCTGCTTAGAGATAATGAGTCATATAATAGATTTAAGTTCTCTCAAATTATAAAATCAAAAGAGAAATTTATCATGATTGACTCAAGATTCATGCATAATCACATGGTGAAGGAAATATCAAGAAACTTATATGAAATCATAGTAATGAATATGATAATTTATTATGAATTGACTTAATATTTATACATGAATTACATGATGAGATATCTTGCTATTTGAGTTAAATCCTAGAAATAATTAAGGTGATTTTGCATTAATTAGATTGATATTTTTCAATAGATTAATGGCTATATTAATTATGTCATGGAGGCTTAATTGCTATGGAAGCATAATGCAACCTTGAGCCTCATGACGAAGATTTAAAAATTCATATTAGATATAGAGAATACTATAGAAAATGATATAGAATAAGATGAAAATCACAAATTTATTTCCATGAATTCAATGTATCTTTTCAATAATTTAAGAAACCTTTGAAGTACTGTTTGTTTTTTTAATCTATTTAATATTCTTTAGTCATTATTTATCATTAGTTCTAAGTTTACTCTTTTTTCTTTTGAGTGAGATATACTCAAATTTTGAGAATGACATGTGATTATTCTTTTATTATACATAGTTTTTTTATTAATGATCAAATCCCTTTCTTTAGCAAATGTTACTCTACTTAAGTCAAACCTTAAAAGCTTTATGTATCTGTTTTTTAGGTTTTAGATTTCTTTTGCAATTTTTCTATATTTCTTCTTACTTGTTCCTTAATTAGTGCTTTTGTAGCATAAAGTTAAGTTTACTTCTTTCCTACCACAACTAAATACTATAAAACATAATAATCAATTTATATAGGAGGAAAATTATAGGAGAACTTAATGTTATAATTTTAAAAAATCAATAAGTTATCATATAAATATCATGTGAAAAAGATAATACTGAGGCTTATTTGGGATAGCTTTATACTGCTTCTTAAAGCAGCTTTTTAGTACATTTAAAACTTTTGTATAAGGAAGCTGCTTTAAGAAGCAGTAAAAAATCCGTCCCAAATGAAGTATAAATAGAAAGTAATTAGTTAAATAATGGAAAAGTGATACATTCATAAATGTATTTTTTAGAATATATGGATCACATACTTCAACAAAAACAATCTATTAGAGAGAAATTAATGCTTTCAATCATTATGTTCTAGATGGAGTTGAGCTTGTTTGGTAAGTCATGAAGAGTTGGCATGAAAAAGAGTCAAAATTAGGTGAATTTAGCTTGTAAATTAGAGCCTCTAAGCTCATAGATGTATGTAGAGGCAGAGATAAAGATCTACACAATATCATGTTTCCACCATTTGAGAACACTCACATTTCTAAAATAAATTAATTAACAATGCAATAATTGAATCAAAAGTTTTAAAATTAAGGGAGATGCCTAATTAATAGCTTTTTTTTAAGATGCTTGAAATACTTTTCATATTTGTATTAAAAATAATGCATTTTTTTCAAAAAAAAAAAATGTAAAATTGTTAATAAGACATGTACAGCATTTAATATAGGTTGCGGTAGCGGTTTTAATCACCACAAAAATAGTTTAGCAGTTATGAAATCGCTGTAAGACTATCGTAGTTACTGTTAGCTGCAAAGGTGCTCCACAGCCGTTTTGAAACAATAGATTTCTTTTTTATGTTGCGAGATATTTATAAAATTATAAGATTTTTTTTTCTATTTTTGTTATTATTTTTATGAGATCATGAAATGAAAATAATTAATTTTCTTATAGATCACGAATAAATTATTGTGTTACACCTAAGTTGAACTTAAAGAGCTAGGCATATATCTCGATCCTAAACCTTTTTTTTTTTCACTCAATTTAAGAGAGCAAGCTGCAAATGTCAAATAGTAAGTATTGGTTTATGTGTAATTTAAAATTTATTTGTTTGATAATTTTGAATTTGCAAGATAACATGCACTATTAAAAAATATGATTTTTCACAGCAGCTGTTAGGGGCGGTTTGAAAACCACCGCCAAAACCAGCTTATATTGAATATATTTGTGGAGGTTATGACCGCTGCAAATCTATATGTTTGTGCCGGTTATAACAATTTCTAAATAAAGCACTTCGTTAAATATTCTACCCCGCCGGTCCTTAACCGCTGTGGAATGTCGTTGCAGCGCATTATAATTAAAGCGGGGTAGTGCAGCGGTTTTAAAACCACATCGAAGAAATTAGTGACGAGTATAACCGTCATGATAAGTCAAAAATTGTGCTGCAGTAATCCTACTTTTCGATAATGGTACACATTAATAAAATACCCTCATTATGCATATATTCCCTCCATAATTTTATAATCATAAATAATGCAAACATTAAAAATTTTATTTCTTCTTTATGAGAACTTTTATGCTATACTCATATTAAAAAAACTTAATAATTAAAAATAATCTTAATTAATTTTGATTAAGATATTACACTAATCTCAAGTATTAAGAGATGGGACCATACAAATGATACTTTGCATGCATATTTCTTCTTTATGAGACTTTTATGCTATACTCATATTAAAAAAACTTAATAATTAAAAATAATCTTAATTAATTTTGATTAAGATATTACACTAATCTCAAGTATTAAGAGATGGGACCATACAAATGATACTTTCCACGAAAATTCTTCACAAAACAATTATTACATGGGATCAATCATTCATACGCCTCTGTAAATATATAACCAAGAGTCCAAATTCGTACGTCAAAATTCGTGAAGATGCCTTCGATCGAACCGTCCATTTCGCTCGGTGAGTCGGCCGAAACATGGCCGACTAAGAGGTGCGTCATTCACATAAGAGTCAGCCAGCTAGATATATCTTAGTATCTTAGTCATCTACGTCGCTCCACGTCTACAAACAGTACGAGTAATTCGTGCTCAATTATTACTCTCCTGTGTTCCTCTTTTCTCTCTCTCTCTAGTCTCTTTACTGCTCCTTGTCTTATATATAGTGAAGACATGTTAAGAAGAGAATAGAGATGGACTCGATAGTACTGAGATCCAGCTAGAGAGATATCTGGAGAGAGAGAGAGAGAGATCAGGTATGGCTTCAAAGCTAGAAATGGCAGAGAAGAGAGAGAACAGAGCTGATCCTGAGAAGTTTGTAGCCATGGAAGGAGAGAAAGATGGAGGGGAAGATGAGCCTGTGGTGGAGTACAGAGGATGGAAGGCTATGCCTTATGTCATAGGTATATATATTCATTAATTTCATCATTTTTAGTAATAATAAATCATGTTTTTTTTTTCAAATTTTATATATTTTTACATATAATTTATGTGAATGATATGAATGAAAAGAGTATGATGTGTGTAAAATATGTTAAAAAATTTTCAGAAAAAAATATTATATATATATATAGAGAGAGAGAGAGAGATTCTTAATTTGTTGAAAAAATTGACACAAAACTGTATATTGAAATTTCAGAAAATATTTTTTTTCTGAAGAACTTTGTGTTGAAGATTTCGGCTTCGTTTGGGACGGCTTTTTTATTGCTTTCTAAAATGGAGTTTTAGTACAAAAATAAAAAAATTTGTACTAAAACTCCGTTTTAAAAAGCAATAAAAAAGCCGTCCCAAATAAACCCTTCGTCTGTTTTCAATTTGAACTTTGACAGGAAAATTGCTTTTACTTTCCAATCATTTCTAAGTTTTAACAGCTTTTTCTTTAAAGATTCCACCAAAAGTACTTTTTATACCATTTTATTTAATTTTTAAATCCTTTAATGAAAAATTTATGATAAAATTAAAATTTTTAGTTCCCATTGGGATTTGGGATTTTTAAACTAAAGTAGCTAGATTTTTAATAACCATTCATATCTTTTTTAGATAAATTAATTTAGTCTCAATTTAATTTTAATTTTTTATTTTTTATTTTAATTTTTTTTTTAATTTCAAAATATTTATGACCAAATTATATTAATTAATCTATAGAAATATATGACTAAAACTTTTGATCACATGAGAGAAACTATGTCACATTAAAAAAACGGACTGAAATTATGCATTTAATAATAATATCAAAGATATAAATCAAATAAAAACATAATATTTAATCCAATTTTTAACTTAAGATTCTAATAATAATTTTTAGGATAAATTTTGAGTCATCATAATGAACCAACTCTTTAATTATAATATTATCAAAACAAATCCATAATTAAAAAATTAATTCCAACAAATTTGTCAAGTTTAATTTTTCCTATTTTTAACAAAATAATAAACTCCTAATATTGTAAATAATACAAAAAATAATAAGAGTCACTTAACCATTTTGATCATTATCTCAAAATGAGAAATTAATCAAATTGATCCTTATTTTTTTCAAAATGATCAAAATAATCTCCGACTATATAAAAAATTCTAATTTTATTTCTAGATTTTTTAAATAGAGACAAAATTAATCATTTTGTAGAATCATTTAAGTCCCTATATAAAAAGTCAAAGGACTAAAAATAAGACTTTTATATAGTCGGAAATATTTTTTATCCTTTATAAAGAGTCAGGGTCATTTTAGTCATTATCTCAAAAAAATGATAAGGGAAACAACTCAAGCAGTACATCTTCCTTCACAATATTTTCATGACCCAGCTGCAGCTCATGATGATGAGTAAACGGTTGGGATGATCAAATATCATTAACATAAGATTATGGATACAATTAAGCTTAATTAAGTGGTTAGTACAATGATTAGATTAAATGATATATTTTATGTAGGAAATGAGACATTTGAGAAGCTGGGAACGTTGGGTACAGCTTCAAATCTGTTAGTATATCTGACGACGATCTTCCACATGAAGAGTGTAGCAGCTACAGCTCTCCTACAGATCTTCAATGGCACAACAAATCTGGCTCCGATATTGGGAGCCTTTCTCTCTGATACTTATCTCGGCCGATACTACACTCTTGCCTTTGCTTCAATTTCCTCTCTTCTGGTATTAATTCGTTAATTACTTTCATTAAAGCCTTTAATTTAGTTTTACTCTCTTTATTTTCTACTCTAATTATGATTGGAAGAAATTTGTTTCTCAACTCATAATTTTCATCTTGTATTACAGGGAATGTTCATCCTGACACTTACAGCTGCAATAAAAAAGCTTCACCCAACACCCTGCAACAACATCAATGGTGAAGAATGCCCAGATGCCTCGCCAATTCAACTAACTGTTTTATATCTTTCATTCTTATTTCTGGTGATCGGCGCCGGCGGAATTCGTCCCTGTAACCTTGCATTTGGTGCAGACCAATTCAATCCTCAAACAGATTCAGGAAGAAGAGGAATCAATAGCTTCTTCAATTGGTATTATTTCACATTCACTGTTGCCATGATGATATCCTGCACTTTCATCATCTATATTCAGAGCAATATAAGCTGGACTCTTGGCTTAGGCATCCCAGCTGTGCTTATGTTCTTTTCCTGTGCTTTCTTTTTCCTGGGGACTAATCTCTATGTGAGGGTCAAGCCAGAAGGCAGCCCTTTGAGTAATGTGGCTCGGGTTCTAACGGCAGCTTACAGGAAGCGAAAATTGAAGCTTTCTGATCAGAATCAGTTTCAATCTCTCTTCAATCCCCCTACTGTTGATAGTACAATCAGATCCAAGCTTCCACATACTGATCAATTCAGGTA